CCTCACACTTGCTCACGCATGGTGCCACTCCTAAGGCAGCTAGGACATGATAAATCCAGCTATTGTGAAATCTCTACTTTTGTAGGCCAAGGATATGTCTTCTTTTGGCCGCCCCTGTTTACCTATCCTCTTCCTAATCACTTCCAGGCAAAACGTAGTTGCCAACTTGCATGAATAATCAAGTCCAGCCCTTTGTCATGAAGTAATTATGTCACAGTTTCCTTCGCATGATGTAGGTGAAAACATAAGCATTTTGACACAACTGGAACCCGGTTGAAATATTGGCTGCGTCATCTTATGGCTGTGTAGACTTGAGTCATCACAGCCAAGTCTTGTGATTTGTGAAGATAATAACGTCATGAAAGTGTGGTAGGAATGAAATAGATGATGCCTCGGGAACACCTAGCAGAGAGGCAAAGACTATTTATACATGCAATTTATAATGCAATTATACATGCATTATACACGTGTGTGTGTCTGGACCAAACTTCTAAAACTAACTCTGGAAACTGATGGCTCCAGAATTTCTCCAAGCAGTTTCCATTGCTAGTTTAGCAAGAACAATCGGTGATGTGAATTTAAAGAATTACAAAACACTATATAAGCCCAAGATACACAATAACCTAAAGGCTCTGCCATATACAGTCCCGTAAATCAACTTTTAAGTGTTTAAAGAACCTGCTACTTTGTAGTGGCTGCAAAAATTTTTTAAAGTGCATACAGTAGATCATTTACAATGCTCAGAATGGATTTGTTCAAGATTAGTAATATTTGAAGAGCTTTTATTTTCTCACTCCAAAGGAGTAACCCCAACCCACAATTCCCTACATAGTGACCCTACATGAAGCACAGGAGCTGCTCCTGAGGGTCTCAGAGACTGAAAATATTGATGGGGACAGTTCCTTTGCTTTTTTTTAAAATCATTTTATTGGGGGCTCATACAACTCTTATCACAATCCATAAATCCATCCATGTGTCAAGCACACTTGTACATTTGTTGACATCATCATTTTCTTTTTTTTAATTGTTTAACCTAGTTCTTTGTTGGTGGTACACCTTTGCTAAATCATATTTATCAAATTTTATGCATGTTAAATGCCTATAACATATTTATTATTATAAATACCTATTATTATTATTTTAGTAGTCATTTCATTAGGAGCTCGTACAACTCTTACCACAATCCATACATCGATCCATTCTGCCAAGCACATTTGTTGCCATCATCACTTTCAAAACATTTTCTTTCTACTTGAGTCCTTGGTATGAGCTCCTCATTTTTACCCTCCCTCCCCCACCTTCCCTCCCTCATGGACCCTTGATAATTTATAAATTATTACTATTTTTCCATGTCTTAAACTGAGTGATGTCTCCCTTCACCCATTTTTGTTGTCCATCCCCCTGGGAGGCAGTTATATGTAGATCGTTGTGATTGGTTCCTCCTTTCTCCCCCCATCTTCCTCTCACCCTCCTGGTATGGCTATCCTCAATATCTGTCCTGGATTCCCTATATTTCCAGCTCTTATCTGTACCCATGTACATGCTCTGGTCTAGCCAGATTTGTAAGGTAGAATTGGGGTCATGATAGTGC